ACTCTCAACCTCAGCAGCAGGAAGTCCTGGATGCTGGACCTCTGCCTTTTTCCAACCCTCGTGATTCAGGGATATGTTATGCTTTGGATTCTAAGTTTCCCCTAGAGGCCACATGTTTGAATGCTTGGTGATCAGCTGGTAACACTGGTTTGGGAGGTTATAGAATCTTTGGGATGTGGTGGGGGGATCTAGCTGGAGAGATGGCTTGGCAGTTAAGAACACTAACTGCTGGGGCTGGAGAGATGGCTCAGTGGTTAAGAGCATTGCCTGCTCTTCCAAAGGTGCTGAGTTCAATTCCCGGCAACCACATGGTGGCTCACAACCATCTGTAATAAAGGTCTGGTGCCCTCTTCTGGTCTGCAGATATACATACAGACAGAATATTGTATACATAATAAATAAATATTTAAGAAAAAAAAAAGAACACTAACTGCTTTTCAATTCTCAGCACCACATGGCAGCTCACGACAGTTTGTAACTCGAGTTCCAAGGGATCTGGTACCTTCACACAGACAAGAGAGACACTAAGAAACATATAATAAAAATAAATTAAAAAAAAACTGTCACCTCACATCATGGCTATTTCAACTTTCACACTGCCCCTGTGATGATGGACACCATGACTGTGACCCACTTGTGATAGACGCTGTGTCTGTGACCCAGACTAAACCTCTTTTTTGTTAACTCGCCCCTGTTAGGTATTTCGTCACAAGGACCAGAAAAGCACCTGATATAGGGTGGAAATCTTGACAGGGAAATGAGGTAGGCACCAAATAACCCAGGGAAAGTGGTAGTTGCCTGGCAACAAAAGGCTGCTGCAGCAGCAGAGTTGCCATAAAGCAGACAGACCATGATGTGGCTATACCGAGGAAAACAAGACCTTGCCAAAATTGACTGACCATAGTGTTTACGACAGAACCTCCAAGGGGGGGGGGTGGAATCCAGTGTCTCTGGAATGGTGGTGGGAATCATGGAGTACTTGAGATATGCATGTTGGATCCTTCCTAGAATGAGCCTTGTTTATCTTACCCCCCACCACAGGAAGACTTTTCACTAACATCCTCTCTCTCTCTCTCTCTCTCTCTCTCTCTCTCTCTCTCTCTCTCTCTCTCTCTCTTTCTTTCTTGTTTCTCAAGACAAGGTCTCTCTGTGTAACTGCCTTGGCTGTCCTGGAACTCATTTTGTAGACCAGGCTGGCCTCAAACTCATGGAGATCCACCTGCCTTCTGCCTGGCAGAGCTGAGATTAAAGGTGTGCGTCACTACCGCCCAGTTCCTTAAAACTTTTTTTTTTTTTTTAACTATGTGGGATACTGCACGACAGGTTTTTTTCTGTGTAGGCTGGATGGTATTTCGTGTCTCAAAAGTGCTTAAGGCAAGAGGATCACAAGTTCAAGGCCAGCCTGGGCTATCTAGCATGCCCTTATTTAGAAAATAATTGTTGTTCCAGGCATGGTAGCACCTGTCTGTGATCCCAGAACTTGGGAAGCTGAATGAAGCACAAAGATTTTGAGATCAGTCTGGGCTACTTAGCAAGACTGTCTCCTCCTGAAAAAAATGTGACAAGAAATACACAATATAAAACTTACTGGGAGGCAGAGGCAGGCAGATCTCTGTGAGTTCGAAGCTAGCTTGGTCTATAAGAGCTAGTTTTAGGACAGGCTCCAAAGCCACAGAGAAACCCTGTCTCAAAAAAACAAAAACAACAAACAAACAAACAAACAAAAACTGTGAGGATATAAGTTGTTGGGGGTTTTGGTTGTTTTGTTTTGTTTGGTTGGTTTTTGAAACAGGGTTTCTCTGTGTAGCTCTGGTTGTCCTGGAACTAGCTCTGTAGACCAGGCTGGTCTCGAACTCATAGAGATCCGCCTGCCTCTACCTCCTGAGTGCTGGGATTAAAGGCGTGTGCCACCACCGCCCGGCTATCCTCACAGTTTTAAGTGTCTGAGCATGCCCACACTGAACTGTCAGCACCAAAGCCAGTCGAGAGAACTCTTTGATTTAGTGATAGCAGAAATGAATGAGCCAAATGTGGTCCTGCAGCACAGCTTTAAGGGAGGCTTTTACTCCAGGGGACAGGGGCAGCCCTTCTCAGGTTGCCTCGAAGCAAAGGGGCCAGTGTCTTATCAGGTTCTCCATGTGGGCTGAGGTCAGATCATTTTCTACAGGTCATGAGTACAACATTTTAAAAAGATTTTTATTTCTTGTGGAATGTATGGGCCGACAGTTGTTTGACTTTGGTACTATCCTGGTTATTATTGTTTAACATTTGCTTTTTAAAAATTTTTATGTGGATGTAGTGTATATGTGTGTGTGTGTGTGTGTGTGTGTGTGTGTGTGTGTGTGTGTATGCCTACCATATGTGTCCAGGTAAACAGAGAGGCCAGATGAAGGTGTTGGACCTCCTGTAGCTGGAGTTACAGGTTGTAAGCTACCCAGCATGCGTGTTGGATATGGAACCCAACTCCCCTGGAAGAACAAGCAACTCTTGACCTCAGACATCCCCAGACCCTCATTCTGTTTTGTTTTTTCTATTTTTTTAAATATTTATTTATTTATTATGTATACAATATTCTGTCTGCATGTATGTCTGCAGGCCAGAAGAGGGCACCAGATCTCATTACAGATGGCCGTGAGCCACCATGTGGTTGCTGGGAATCGAACTCAGGACCTTTGGAAGAGCAGGCAATGCTCCCAACACCTGAGCCATCTCTCCAGCCCATTTTTTTGGTTTTTCAAGACAGGCTTTCTATATGTAGCCCTGGCTGTCCCAAAACTTGCTCTGTAGACCAGGCTAGCCTTCTGCTTCTGCCTCCCAAGTGCTGGGACTAAAGGCGTGCGCCCCCACAGTCAGCCTCATCCTGCCAGGCTGTTCCCAGGGACCAGAGCAGGAGGGTTAGAGAAGACCTATCCAGTACTATTGAAGACTTGGAGCGTAGGAGGAAGATACAGACGCTACTCTCAGTGGGGAACAGCTCATCTCCCTCTGTCCCCATGTGGTCCTCCTCCCCATCCATCCCCAACATCTGTGCATGTTTCGCAACTGTTGCTCTCTGTCTGTTAACTGACACATCCCTGCTTCAATCAGAATAGTTTAATGGAATGATTTGTCGAGAGTCTTTCAGCCCAGAGAAGCCAAGGGATAGCATTGCCCCACTGTTCTGAGTCTGAAGTCAGCTGTCACCTGAGTTTGACACTAACAAGATCAAAGTCATCTACCTAAATGGCATGGGTGGCATAGAAAACAAACTTGGCAATGACCGAACAGCTGTGATTGGACGGTAGAAGAATCACAGTGGGCTTGCCTTCCAAAATAGAAAGGTCCTGTCTTGGTCGCCTAAAATGTTTTCCATATGTGTTCCAATGTTTGAAAATTAAATTCATGTATATGTCTGGATGTCCTCACCTCAGAGGACTTCAGAGACCTATTTCTCCATGGTAAATGGTGACAAGGTCCGCTGAGCCCACGTTTAGCTGGGCCCATGGTTCTTCATGTTACACAGGTCCCCTTCCTTACAAGGAAGTGCTCCATCGTGTTGTTTGTCCCCGCCCAGTGAGCTTTTATCTCTTCTGTGTTTCTCTCTTTGATACCGGTGTATGTGTGCGTGTGTGTGTGTGTGCACGCGTGTGCGTGTGTGTGCGCTTGTACGCATGGGTGTGTGTGTGTTCGTGTGAGTGCAGTACACATGGCTGTGTGTGCTTACGTAGACAAGAGGACGACTTCAGCTGTCATTCCTCAGGCACTGTGCACCTTGCTTTTTAAGACAGGGGACCTGACCTGGAATTCACAAAGTGAGCAGGGAGCTGCCTGTTTCTGCTTCCCAGTACTGCAGTTAATAACCACATGCCATCACATTCTTTTGTGTGTGTGTGTGTGTGTGTGTGTGTGTGTGTTTTGTTTTAATGTGGATTCTGGACATGGAACACAAGTCCTCATGCTTACAAACCAAACACCAACTGAGCCGTCCCTCAGCTGCTACCTGGTGCCCACTGAAATTACTATGGCAATCTTCGTCTTAGAATCTTATCTACCCCTTACCCTAATTCAGTATTCTGACCTGCCGGTTCTGGTTGTTCCAAATCCATTTGTTTTGTTTTTGTTTAAGACAAAGTTTTGCTACATAGATTAGCTAGCCTATATCTCACTGTGTAGACTAGGCCGGCCTCAAACTCACAACAGTCCTCCCTACTCAGCCTCTTAAATCCTGGGATTGCAGCTGTGCGCCACCACGCCCAGCTTCCAAACTCATTCTTGAACTGCCTCCATTTCCCAAGGGTAGTCGATACAGACGAAAACCTGTCTTAAAGTGGACACACCACAGTAATTCTGTGATTTTACTCATGTTTTCTCTCTTGAAGATGTTTTCCTTTGGTGCCTCATAGTCTCATTTTCATTTCTTCCTAATCTCGGGGGCTCTTCGGTCTTCCTGATTCTAGTTGGAGGAGAGAGGACCACCTCTGGGTACTTTATGGGAGTGACCTCTGACCTTACTGACTTGCTGTCCAGAGAGCTGGGGTTTTGACTATGGATTGGGAGCAGACTCATGCAGTAGGGGAAGTGATGTGTTGGCTAGATGTGGTCCAGGGAAAGTCAGGGCTGCTCTTCCTGCAGCCCACAGGACTCTTGCAGGTTGGCTTCTAGGACTCTTTGACAACAACCCTCCATCCCATAAGGGAAATACATCTAGCCAGGCTGGAGAGATGGCTGAGAGGTTAAGAGCACTGACTCTTCTTCCAGAGGTCCTGAGTTCAATTCCCAGCAACCACATGGTGGCTCATAGCTATCAATAATGAAATCTGGTACCCTTTTCTGGCATGCAAGCATACATGGAAGGAATGTTATATACATAATAAATAAATTAAAAAAAGAAATACATGTAGCCAAGCAATATGATGCAGCTTAATTTTATTAGGATGACATATAGGGCTGGGCAGGTGTCACGGTCAAGGGAGGCACTGGGGGGGGGAATACAGCGTAGACACTGCGGAGACGCTGTGCCACTAGAAGGCACAGCTGCTTTCCACAAAGCGGCGGCACTTCATGACCCGCAGGTAGGTCTCAGCCTTGTGCAGGTCCTTCTTGAAGCAGGAGAGTAACCCGTAGTTTTTGAGCAGGGCGTCATCACTGCGCATGTTGGTGTCAAACTTGTCATAGGTTTGCTTGAGGATCTGCCCAATGCGGGGGCTGCCGTCTTCCAGCTCCTGCAGTGGGGAGGATGGGCAGGAGAGGCACAGGAGTCTCAAGAGCTGTGCCCTCCCCCAACTCCAGGACCTAGAGAAAGGCCTGGAAGCTTCATAAGAAGTAAGAAACGAATAAGAGGCCTTCCCAAGGGTCAAGGCCTGACTGGTAAATGGAGAAGAGCCATGAGCCCCCAGCTATGCTCTGGGCAGAGGCAAAGGACAGTGCGGCCCACCCCAGGGCCCTCCTCACCTGCATCAGTGCCTGTATGCCCTCTTCCAGGTCCTTCAGTTTCTCGTAGACGCGGTCTGAGGTTCCGAACATCAGGCTGTTGGTGAAGATCCTGCTGAGGAACTGCACAGGCCCCAGCCATGACTGGATGAGCAGCAGCGAGAAACGAAGCAATTCCATGTCCTAAGAAGAAAGGGCTGGGTGGAGTGTATTGCCTAGTGACCGCTGCCTGGGACTTCAAGGTTACCCCAGCTTCAGAGAGAAGGAGGGGGGTCCCTGGCCTGGGGTGCAGTTAGGGTTACTTGGCGGGAAGAGAGAATTTGTGCAGACAAAGCCTGAGTGATCACTCACGGATCTCTGTTGGGCCTCCTCCTTGCCTGTGGGGGCTGGGATGGTCTCAGAGAAGCAGAAAGCAGCTTGGGCATTCTGAATGGAATAGCGCTGTCCCTCGGGGATGTAGGCACGCTCCTGGAGGGAGAGCAGTCACGGAGGGTGAGCCTGGAGCCCCCTGTCATCGTTACCTTATGGAGGACCCACTCCGTGTTTGTTCATCTTGATGCCATTGGCTTAAGATCCCTGACCCCTCCCTCTGTTTCCCCTTGTGACTTCCCATGGTCTGAGGGCAAGGGTCTGCCCCTTGCTGCTCCCACAGTCAGGCAGGCACCATTGCTGGGGAACTTACAAACTCTTTGTAGGTGTCAGCAGCCAGCTGGTGCAGATGCTGGGCCCGGAGCACAGCATTGGCAAACAGACTGGACAAGGGCATGGCAGGAAAGGCACCAGCCTCCTGAGGCCAGAGCAAGCAGAACAGGGTGAAGGTGAGGAGCCAGGAGGACCGAGAGTCTAGAGAGAGACGGGAAAAGACTGAGAGCGATGGCCAATCTCTCCTAGTTCCCATAGGGACCCAGAGTGTTTCCAACATGAGCAGAAGTTGGGCTGCACTCACATTCGAAGCCTCAAACCCATTTCCAGGGCCCCGTGGTCCATACCACACCCAGCGGGATTCAAGGATGCTTACCTGCAGCCATTGCCATTCAGTGGTCTGTCCACAGGACCCTGAGCTGTTTGGGATCTGGGACTTGGTCCCTTGCATGCCCCTTTTATACCCTACTTGTTTTCCCTGATCCCAAGGCCCCTGCCTTTTCCCTATACATTTATTCATGGGCCAGGGCCACTGACAGCTTGTACTGATGGATAATTTAGAGGCTCCTCCCACTCACCATGTTCCCACTCCTCTCCTGCGGTCATGTCCCCAAGCTTATCCTTCCATCGCCACCTTTGTCAGGTTTGTGAGCATTGGTTATGCAAGCTCTCAGCTACAGAGACCACCCAATGTGTCCTTAGGAGAGCATCCTGAGTCCAGGGGATGGATTGCTGTTGTCTGCTCCCTGGGATGAGGGGCAACAGAGACCTTCCAAAAAGGCATTGTCCCCATCAATGTTTCTTTTAAAATTGCATTTGTGTGTGTGTGTCTGTGTGCTGAAGTGTGTGTATGTAGGAATCAGAAGATAACTCGGGAATTGATGCTGTCTCTCCATCATGTGGGTCCCAGGGATTGACCTCAGGTACTCAGGCTTGGCTGCAGGTGCCTTTACCTCCTGGACCATTTTTCTGGCCTTGTTCTGTCCTTTTCTTCTTGAACGTATGGTTCCCTAAATCCACAACTACAAAAACTACATGAGCTGGGTTTATAGAGATGATTTCCATGCTAAGAGAGCTTGCCGTTGTACCAGAGGACCTAAGAGACTCACAACAACGTGTAACTCCAGCTCTAGGAGATCTGATGCCCTCTTCTGGCCTCCACGAGCACACACGTGTGGCACAGGCTCATACGCATACACACCAATAAAAATAAAATCAACCTTTAAAAAAGGAGAGGTGGTGGTGTACGCCTTTAATCCCAGCACTTGGGAGGCAGAGGTGGGCAGATCTCTGTGAGTTCAAGCCAGCCTGGTCTACAGAGCAAGTTCCAGGACAGCCGGAGCTATAGAGAAATCCTGTTCCAAAAAACCATAATAATCATAATCATAACAATTAATAAAGAAATGAAAAAACAAACAAATAAATAAAAATAAAGAAAGAGAGACAGAATATGCCTGTTAGGAAAGGGGGGGGGCTGGAAGGTGGTGGCGCATGCCTTTAATCCCAGCACTCGGGAGGCAGAGGCAGGTAGATCTCTGGGAGTTCGAGGCCAGCCTGGTCTACAAGAGCTAGTTCCAGGACAGGCACCAAAGCTACAGAGAAACCCTGTCTCGAAAAATAAAAAAAAAAAAAAAAAAAAAAAAAGGAAAGGGGGGAACCTCTTCTGCCATCAAACACATAGGCTGGTGGAGGGCAGCTGGGTGTAGTGCTACCACTAACCACTAGAGGGTACCGACCACGAACTTTATCCTTCCACAAACCCAAAGGTGCCCCTTAGGTCTGTGGGGCAATGGACCCTGCTCCTTGGACCTGCCATAGAGCTTAATTCTTGTAACACAACCTTTGTAAACAGACGTGTGGACTTCAAGTACTTCCCTATAGCCCTGAGGTCTTGGGGCACCTCAAAGTTCCGAAAGCCCTTTGGGGTTTTGAGTCTTCTGGCAGCCCTGGGAGTCGGGGTCGGCTATCCACTCACTACAGCACCCTCCCTGCTCTTTAGCATCTGTCAAGCCCTCATCAAGAGGCAAAGGACGGTTTCCATTTGGTCCCGCGAAAGTCTTGGGCATGTGGTGTAACCGTCAAATCCATCTTTTTTTTTCAGAGGGAGAGATGACTGAGTTTCGGGAAGAACAACCCCAAGAGCCGGTTCTGGCGGGACAGCAGCTCCCTCAGCCTTGCAGTTCCCGTGTTCCATGTCCCAAGCTCCTTTATCCCTAGTGCCTGGATGGGATCAGCCAGCTATTTTAGCTTCTGAATCCTTCTGAGCGCTCGGACTCACCCCTGAACGCAAGGGTGCCTTCGCTGCATTTCGTTTTCCCTGCCAATTCTCAGGTGAAAATGCTCCAGAAGCTTGGGGGGTGGGCATATGGGAAAGCGTACAACACAACAAAGCCAGGGCCAAGGAAGGCTGGGCTGTGTCAGCATCCTTGTCTAAATCTCCTATCTTTGGATCTCAGGTTGTTTACTAAATGCCCTTGGTCCAGTATGAAAACACACAAGCAAGTGTATCTCTCCAGTAGCTAGCTGTCCTGCTGGCAACCAACATTGAAAAATCACATCCCTGGGGTCCAGAAGATACAGCCTCTTAACATCCTCCAAGCATTTTCCAATAACTACCCCTGATTCACCATTCAGAGGAGGCTGCGGGGGCCTTAGGGGCTGCTCCAGGCAAGCCTGGGGAAGGCTGCAGGGGGTCACCGGAGATACAGGCTCTAAGAAAGACAGCACCAGAGGGAAAGGAAGGACATAATTTCCCCTCCTCCTTCCAACTCTCCCAGAGAGGAGGAGCTAGATGAGCAGTGGAGGACCTCCACTGCTGCCCCCCTCCCCCGCATCCCTTGGAAGAGGGGGTAATTGACATCTTCTCTTGTCATCTCAAAACTGAAGTGACCTCAGAATTGAGTTGCCCAGGGGACTTTGGGGACTCCTGGGGATACATCTTTATAGAATGTTAGTATGACGAGCTCTAGGCCCAGGAAGATGAGCTGAAGCCAAATGTGAGGTCGTATAAGGGGTTTGGTGATCTTTTCTCTAGTCTGGACCATCTTTTAGGACTTCTGGTGACAGAGACCAAAAACCAGAATTCACTGCTACTAGGAGCTAAGCTTTGACTCAACTTAGGGTTTATCGGATTCTTCTGGAAAGTTGCCCCATGTACCACTGAAACCTCAGAATCCTACAGGGTCAGGGGATGCCAAACAATGATCTCTGCAGGGCCTGTGGGGGAGATGCTGTGACTGGTGTCTATGAGTCCAGCCTCCAGAAGTTCAGTTCAAGATGACGTCTCGAAGAAGCACCCATTTTCATTTCTACGAGTTCAAGGTCAGCCTGGTCTACAGAGCAGGTTCTAGTACAGCCAGGGCTACACAGAAAAACCCTGTCTCAAAGTAAACAAACAAAACCAACCAAACCACAAAAACAAAGGAAATGCCCATTATTAGAGCCAGAGAGATGGCTTGGTCAATAAAGAGCTTACTTCACAAGCTTGAGGTCCTGAGCCCAGACCCCCAGCCACCTTGATAAGGCCAGGCATATTGGTAGTTCAGGATTCCTAGGGCTGCTCTAGCTGGGTCTCTGAGCTTCAGATTCAGTAAAAGTCCCTTTCACTAAAAACAAGGCAAAGGGGCTGGAGAGCTGACTCGGAAACTCAGAGCAAATACTGCTCTTGCAGAGAGCCCAAATTTGGTTCCTAACACCCACAAAGGCCTGCTCACAATTGCTTGTGACTATAGTTCCAGGGGACCCAATACCCTCCTCCAATCCCCATGCTCCAGTCCCTTGAATTCATTTACACACACACACACACACACACACACACACACACACACAATTTCAAAACAAAATAGTAAACTGTTGTTGACTTCTGGCTTCTGCACACATTCATACACGGTACATGTACTCATACACACATGAACTGATACAGACATACACAAAGAATGCCCCTGATAGCGTGGAGTCCACGGATGTCTTTGTTTGGAAGCCTTGTGTGCTTCCAGACTCGACTGTCTCTGGGCTTCCCTACATGTACCACAGAAAGTCACAGATCTCATCTTGGTCCTAAAGTCCTCCTCTATGCTTGAGGTTCAGTTCTATGGGTGGGAGCAGTCTTGTTTTTCTCATCCTGGTTGTAGGGATGACCCCAGCTGGATTAGGGGTACCTCTGCACACTCTTCACTGGCAATTTGAAGCACACCCTTCCCACTGCTTGCTCCGTCCTCTTCCAGAGGTCAGAGTTGGTTATTACATTTGATGCAGCTTGCGCCTCTGCAGTATTCTTTACATCAGGTTTAAATATAGACATGACATAAATAGATACACATATATACATAAGAATATATACATATATTAATATATATTGTACACATTCTTGTTCAGGCTGCCCTGGAACTCATTGTGTAGCCCAGACTGGCCTCAAACTCATGACCCTCCTGTCTCAGTCTCCTGAGTACTGATCTTTCAAGTGTACAGTCTCCCCTAATCCAGTTAGTACATGGGTCTTAGCACTAACTCTATTGAGTCACAGTCTTTAAACTCTAAAGAGTGCTATTTGGGGATTCCCAAGGGCCTTTCCAGGGGAGGTGTGTTTCTGAAGACTCGCCATGTGCCAGAAACTGTACTGGACAAGAGAGCCTATGTGTCTCATTTGAGAGCTGAGGACACTGGGGCTTAGAGACAGACTGCCTGGGTCTAAGGGATGACTCTGTAGTCTTCCCCCCACAGCTAAGGCTGGCATGCGCAGGACCTTCCTCTCACCGTAGAGCAAGCCCTCACACAGATGTTCAGCGAAGGTGGGAGGAACTGAATGCAAAGGGATTGAGTGGGGCATCCACAGACGCTAAGAAAAGTTGTAGCAAGAAAACAAGCCGATGTGGCCTGACTTAGTGAAGCAAATCATATCATCCTTCATATTTGTATTGCACGTTTCAGTGTGCTTCATACTTTCACTTCCCGTATCTCCCCAACAATGCGGCAGAAGGTTCTGAGTAGAGGGAGGGCTGTAGAGGGCTGGGGGGAAGGCTGGGCAGGCGCCCCGTCTACCAGTGGCGTATTGTTGATGCTGTGGGATAATCCATGGACAATTGTAACTGGACTTGCTAAGTAACCCCCAGGATACTCCCCAGGGACAGAGACGTACTGAAAAAGACTGGGGTAGAGAGATACCTCAGTCAGTCAGTGCCAGGCAAGCACAAGGACCTCCCTTAGGGTCCTCAGAACCTATGTTAAAAAAAAAAAGTCAGGTGAATGAATTACCCCTGTAATGCTAGTTCTGGGGAGACAGAGATCGGAGGGTCCATGGGACCGTGGGGATAGGGAGCCAGCGTCTTTGTTGGCTCCGTCAGTTCCAAGCCAGCGAGAGACCCTGTTAGAAAAAAAAAATATGAAGGTGGATGGTACCCAAGGAGTTGTTCTCTGGCCTCCATCGGCACACACACACACATGTGTACAGGTGTA